CAGAGGGAGGGGCTTTACCCTCCTGGTCCCCCTCATGCCATCCATCAACTTGGGAGGGGTGAGGAGAGAGGTTGCCAGTAAAGACTGAGGCAAAAAAGTTGTTGAGTACCTCAGCTTTCTCCTCATCTGCTGTTTCCAGCTTGCCAGTCTCGCTCATCAGCGGGGGGTACGCTTTCTTCAACCATCCTTTTCTGGCTGATATACCTGTAGAAACCCTTCTGATTATTCTTTGCATCCCTAGCCAAGTTTAGCTCCAGCTGAGCCTTGGCCTTCCTGACCCCGTTCCTACACAACCGGGCAGTGTCCCTGTACTCTTCCCAGGATGCCTGTCCCTGCTCCACTGCCTGTGCAGTTCCCTCTTTTTCCTTAGTTTGACCAGCATCTGTCGTCTCAGCCATGCCAGTCTCTCTTAATAATAATAAGCAATCTTTCAGGAGGAAAGAATACATCATAGTATTTTACGTGTTCTGGTCGTTCCATAAGGTCTTTACCTATATTTAAATAGACTTAGAGTGCAGGTTCTAGACCTGTATGAATGTCTCAAATTATTTATTTTGCTAGAGTGAGAACTACATGCAGTTTTAAAAGCTTGCAAATGTTTGCTCTCCCACAATGCAAGCAAAAAGAAAATGCAGTTATGCAAAAGCGTACTCTTCTGTGTGCAGGAAGAGTTTGAGATCTTTTCAGCTTAATTTCAAAATACAAAAAAGAAGTGAACAAATTAGCTTCAGGTATTTTGATGTTACGTGATTGTGTTTTGCTTCTACCAAAAATAATTCCAAGCAGCACTGATCTGTCTTATGTGACCAAGAGTTTCCATATCATGAACATCACAGTGAGAATTAGCTCAATAAAGCTAGAGGTAGTTTTAGCCAATTTTTCTGCAGAGCAACCACAACTTCACTGGATACAGTGGAATTGTGCCAAGACTGGGTCTGACCTCTTGAATTACAGGAAAGTTGCTGAGCATCCGTTTCTAAGGGGTGTCACTCTGCATGCAAGTAAGACAATAAATGAGGAAGAAAACATTTAAAAAGTAGTAACAATTCCTTAGATTGGAGTGGGGAAAAGCTTATTGCTTCTGTATCCTTCAGCCTGCTGCATTTATCAGGAGCAATTTAGAAATATAGGGGAAAGAGAGGACAAATTAATTCATTTTAATTAAACCACACCTGTGAAAAATCCAATATATTTTGAAGGAAAGCAAGGAAAACTACTGAAGATGGAAAAGGGGGAATTCTTTAGTGTAAGAAGTCAGTATTTCCTTCCAGGAACTGAAATAAAATTGTAGTTTGACCTACTCCCATAACATGCCATCCTTTCTTAAGGAGAAAGTCCAATTTATAAAATGTTGAAATGAAAAAATGGGTGCAAGCTGACAATTTTAATAGAAGAAGAGAGAAATGTGATTTCTTTCAGAAAATGGGTATTTTTTATTGCCCAGGCCAAGAATTTCATTGCTAGACAGGAACGCAGGATATACAATCATTTTGTAGATTATGATTGTCCAAATGCTTCAAATGCCACCACGGTTCTGAGATTAATAAACTAAAGGATAGCTTCTTCTGGATAGCTGCTTCTACAATTTCAAATCAATTAGGTTCTTCATTGCCACAAATATTTTTAGTTGATACGCTGTCATGAAAGCTAGTCCACCCTACTATGCTATACAAACTTTTGGTTACGTATGTTAGGCACTACTCTATCTGCCCTGCAAAAATGTACAGATTAGTAAAGAGTATGCAGATGTTGCCACAGTTACCTTGATCAAGGATATTCAGCTGTTTATCAAGACATAAAAAGGACCTTTAATTGATTTATTCAAGTCCAGTTTGAAAACTATTATATTTCTGGAAACTGTAATTCTCTTGGACATTTCCCTTGTAGATCTGTGGAGCCAGATGGGCATCTTCTAAGAGGAAGACTGGAGGATAA